GTAACCAAGCAGCCAGTTGGCGGGGTCAGCAGTGGACCAGCCCAGGCCCCGCCCCTCTGCCTGATGGATGCAGAGGTCCTGGCTTTATTTTATTTGCTTGTGCCTTGCCCTTTTCTCCTCCGAGAGCCAACGCACGATGCACACAATCCTACATCACACGGAGCGAGCAGCGGAGCCAAACAACCACACATCATCAGATGCATTGATTTGCACAGACACTCATAAAAACTTTACTAGACACCAAATAATTACAGGAAGGGGCCAACCTCCAATTCGGCTGAGCCGCAGTGTTTTGAAGTGGATTTAAGATAGAGATCAAATAGGAGAGGCACCCGCCCTGGCTCACACCCACCCCCCATCCCCAGCCGTGGACCCTCAGGGTGAAAACCAATGAATTTCCCTGGCCTTTGTGAATTTGTGTCCGATTCTGTGAGTTATTCTTGAGATCCTAATGAGGCTTTTATGACTCCGAACATGGTCCTTCACCTTCTCTTTGTTCTGGCTCCTGTCCTGGGTTGAGGAGCCCCTTGTTCTTAAAGACAGAATGCTGAAACCATCCATTTGGCAAGAAATGCAAATATTCTTAAAGAAAGTGCTCAGTAAAAGCAAACATAGCACACACGCGTGCGCGCGCGCACACACACACACACACACACACACACCAGTCCCTAACACGGGTTTCTGAGCAATGGGAGGGAAAAGTCCCAAAGCCTTCACTGTGAGTGCTACCTGCTCTCAGCCCCAGGTTTCATAGCACAGTGAGTGAAGAAGACTGAGCTATCTGCTGAACGCCCAGGCAGTGCCCAGAGTCTTGTGGCCAGCACCTTGACTTCACCTGTCCCAGAGGGATTGAATTTGCAACAAGTCTATTTTCCCTCTGGCTCTAGAGGAAGAAGAGAAAGGGGACAAAGAGAGCCCCCATGTCTAAATAGCAATTCCCCTTCATACAATTATTCATCAGGTAGTAAGTCTAGAGTCCTACGGTGAGCCAGGCACACAGAGAGCCAGCTCTTCCACATCACCCTCCCAGCAATCCTGGAAAAATCAGTGCATTATACCCATTGCACAGACAGGGACATCGAGGTGCAGAGATGTGGGACTGTCACCCTAATGTTTTCTAACCAGACCTTCAGACAAGACCTGCAGTACATCCTGAGGCCTGCCATTCTCCATCTTTAATCATTGCCTGGCTGGTGGGAGACCTGAGCTCTGGGCCACCCAGTCCTTCCCGAGGGCTTCAGGCAGCCTTTGGACCTGAGGGAGCCCGATTTCCTGAGATGTGGAGCGAGCCCATGACTAATAGTGCAAACTAATGGCCAGAGTGGGGGTTGTTGGAAGGCTGAGGGACTTGGCTCATCTCGGGGCTCTGGGCATAGTACACAGTGGTCCCCGGTGGAGAATGAGAAGCACCTCAGGGGTCCCTCCCCAGTCTCTCCTCTTTGGAGAACCTCCAACTGGGCTTTCACCAGCGCAGGAAGACCTCAGCCGCTTTTCCCTAGGCGTTGGGAAGTGACGGTCCCATCCTTTGACCCGTGTCTTCTGTGTTAAGTCCAGCTGGGATGCCTGGTGTCGCTTGGGAATTGGAAATTGCCCACCTTCGACCTCTGCTGAGCCTTGGGCGCGCCCTTGCTCCACTTCCGGAGTCCATGGGTTCTTCAACACCGGGGACCTGGGACCTGCTGAGTCTCCCGGAGAGCTGCTTCCGACCTGAACCACGGCTTGGGGCAGCTTTGATTCAGCGCAGCCGAGTCTCTTGAGATCTTGAAGTTCCATTAGCCTGGAGAGCACCTGGGGTGGGCCTAGGTGCTCTGTGGTCATTGTGATAGAGCAAAAAGGCCCCTGCTGGATGCTTCTGAAACTCTCCTTACTGGGGCATCCAAGGCCGCGCCTGGTGCTCATTCCTGCTGTGTTCTGAACTCCAGCTGCGGTTCTAAACCTAGAGGGTACTCTCTTCTCTCTCTCTCTCTCTCTCTCTCTCTCTCTCTCTCTCTCTCTCTGACTCTGGTCAGAAGCATGAAATGGTTGGAGTTCCACTGGTGTAGCCCTAACCACCCCCCTACACACACACACACACACACACACACACACACACACACACACGCCCTGAGCGCGCTCGTACGAGGCGGGTCGCTACCGAAAGAAATTGCAAAGTCCTAAAGGAGAACCAGGAGCTTCAAGGCAGGGCTCAGGAGCTGCGCGCCTCCGGGAATAGGTAGATTCCAGATCCCTCCTGTTCGTTTCTTGCAAACCCAGCTGTGCTGGCAGCCTGCCTCCACGGTCTTTGCTCAGGTGGAAATAATCCTGAGTGGATTCTGCCACAGACTTCCGAGACAGCAAGCATCCCGCGTCGGACAGCGCGGGTTTGTCCGGGAGTACGATGGGCCGCTGGTCTCCGGCCTTGTGAGTCTCAGTGCCGCAGGGGGCAATAACTGGTACCAAAACAAAGATTGAGATCCCGCGGAGCCAAGAACTGCTTGAGGATGGCTGAGAGACGTGGGATCCGAGCCTGGGCCGTTATCCTCCTTCCTGTCCAGTCGTATTATTCTTCCACAGGGGCAGAGGCTTGGGAGGCCAAGAACCCTAAGGACGAAACATGGACGACTGCGCGCAGATTTGTGAGAAGGACCGGTGATCGTCAATTAAGGCTGAGAGAGTGAGGACAAAGGACAAGGACCAAGGCCTACAGGTCGGGAGAATGGACCGAAGGAAGCAGGCGTGGAAGAGAGATCAAGGTTGTGGATGGAGCATCCTCAATCAGACCAGAGACGGACACCTAGTTTCCCTTTCCAACCAAGGAGTCGCCTACATTTCCGGCAGCCCGTCCGGGGTCGAACAGGGCTGCGGCTTTGACAGGGCGCAGAGAGAGACGCTAATAACCTCCGCACCTTGGAAACACACCATCCACGCACCAAATGGGGGCTACAGGTGTGCCCTCGACGCTGAAACCTGGCTTCAAGTACTGCCTAATGCGCAGCAAACGCAGCCAAAGGCCCAGACCCGGTCTTAGACGCCAGTCACAGGGTCAGGAAAGCCTCAGAGGCCGGGCCGCAGGAGCCTCTGTTTAGTCAAAGAGAAAAGAAGAGCGATGGAGTAGAAATGGCAAGGCACAGGGCGCGTGGGGAAATGGGAAGGTGAGAGATGGGGGCAGAACACTGCGCGGAGACTTCAGGGTCCGGGTGCATCTTTAAGGCTCGAGACAGAGAAGATACTTGGCAGCCTGAAGGAGGTGGCGAAGGTCCCGGCTTGGAACTAGGGCTTTCGCCTGCAGGCGGTGTCTAGCAGTGGTTGCAGGGACACACAGTGGCCAGCAGAGGGCGGAGTGCACCCGATCGGCCAGCCGGCCCGGCGCGGTTCGGTGCCTCCCGGCTTTGCACGCCTAAGGCTTACTCGCCCCGGCTTCTTCCCGCAGCTATGCGCCGGGGCCCAGAAACACAGAGAAGGCAGCCCAGGCCTAGGCCCAAACTCGGAGCTCAAGGCCTAAGATTTCCCACACTGGGTAAAGACAAGAGGACGAAGGGTGTGTGAAAAAAAAAACTCTACATCCACATACCCATGCTCTAGGATACAGACACACAAAGGCGCCGAGAAATACTCAGAACACAAAGCCACAAACACAAAACCCCTGAGCGACACAAAACAATTCAGAAACTTGGGGGCAAACAGAAACACAAAGGTAACTCGGAGACACACATATAGAGAAAACTCTATGAGAGACATTACTGGGGCCCGAGGCGCACACAAAGGCGCGGGCATCTTCATGGTGACACAGACACAAGGACACACACAAAGATGTGCAAAAGCATGCCACAGAAGCAAGAGAAGGTCTGCAGATAGGCACACAACACACAGGCACTCGCAGCTTGGAAAGTCTCAAGGCCACACAAACACAAAATTGTATGTGCACAGGGACACGGGTGTACAAATACTCAATAGCATCAGAGTCGGGAGCGCCGACACGCACAGACACACTCGGATACCCACCGACGCACAGGCAGGTACTGGGGTGGGGCGGTGACCGCTAATCCTCCACAAAGCCGGGCCCCTCCGGGGGGCCCCCCTGAAGCACAGGGGGCCACTTCTGACCAAGCCTCCTGCAAGCTCCAAATCCGATCCGCCCTCTCGCCTCCAGCGGGGTCAGGGGACCCGCCCTCCGTGCCCTCCACCCCCACCCAACTCCGCGCCGCTGCTCCACTCCCGGAGGGGCTAGGGCCGCCCAGCAGAGGCTCATCGAGGGCAGCCAGCTCCTGCCCTGGGGCCGCATCATCTCTTCAGGACCAAGCACGCGCAGTAGTGGTGGAACCGAAGGTGCCCAGGGTTCTGACAAGAAGTCTTCTAGTTTTCTCCCGGGGGGTGTCAGGCGAGGTGCACACAGGAGTCGCCAGCTGCGTGTCTCTGGCCTTGTGCTGCCCGGTGTCGGTGTCGAGGCCCACTTTGCCCAAGCTGGCCAGCGCTCGGTCTGGACCCCTGGCCAGGCCCCTTGGCCACAGTAAAAGGGCACCTACTGAAGAAGTCACCAGGATATCCTTGGAGCAGTCAGATCCGCGATCTTCTAGGTCTTCACCCCTAGATCTTGGCGACACCATTTCTTACCTGCACCTCATACTCCAAACCCTGGGAGGCCCAGCCTTCGTTTACGGCCACCTCCAGTGACCGAGCCCCTTTCCAATCCTGTTGATCCTCTTACAGTCTCCTGGTCTCAACTCTGCTCTGACCGTCCTCGCCCACCCAATGTCTCCCACTCAGGATCTGGGGGCCCCTTCAGCTCACTCTCCCGCCCTATTTCTGCCAGGCCAAGGTTTTCAGGACCCCCTCAATCAAACCGCAGCCCGTCCGTCCCCGTTTCCTAGCCAGAGCTCCCTTTGACCAGTCAGGGGCAAGCAGTTCTCGCCATTTGAGGCTCACTATCTCCCGATCCCTGGTGCCATCCCTCTCTTCGTACAGAGCTGTCCGGTGCAGGCACTGCCTCACGGCAGGACACCAACTCAGACCCTGCAACCTACCTTCGCCAACAAGTCGAAGTCCCCGGGCGTTGATCCCGCCTGGCGCCGTCCCGTGGAGGAGTCCTGAGCTCCTCGCCTTCCGCAGTCTGGCCTCGCTTGGGGCCACTCCTCTGTGCGCTGGAGCTCTTAAAAATATATTAATAATAAAAAGGCAAGAAAGAAAAAAAGAAAGAAAGCCTGATTCCCCCAACTCCCAAATCAATTTTTCAAGAGGGGTGGGGCACAGGGTTTGTTTCGATGGCTACGCAAACTTCTGCCAAGGATGGGTAGGATGGCTGGCTGGGGCAGGGGCGCGGTGCGGGGCGCAGGCAGGGGGCTCAGGGAGCCCGCCCGCGGGGAGGGGGGGCGGCGACGGCACTATTTGACGTGGAGCCGCCGGCTCATCCCGGCGCAATGATACGAGGCGCACCAATGAGTTCAAATGTCAGGAAGTTTGAGGAGGGGTGAGGCGGCTCCCGGCCGGAGTATCCCTCCGCCGCCAGCCCCAGCTCTAAACCGAGCGGCTCCTCGGGCGCACCATGGCACTGGAGTAGTGCGGGGAGAGCGCCCGGAGCCCCGCGGCCCGCTGCGCCCCGCCCGGGACCCCGCTGAGCTGCCTGCGCCCCCCCCAACCCGTGGGGCCGCCCCTGCACTCCCGCCCCCTCCCCCGCCCGTCGCCGCCGTCGCCGCCGCCTCCTCCTCCTGGCGGCTCCGCGTGCCGCCCGCCGCCGCAGCCGGGACCCGGCCGGGACTGACAAGCAGGTGACAGGCGAGCCGCGGGCGCGCGTGGCTGCGAGTGGCCAGGAGAGCGCGGCGCGCGGGGCTGCCAGCCGCCCGGGCCCGCCCGCAAGACGCCGGGGCCCGGGGCCAGCGCGCCGCCGCTCCACGCTCGCCCGGGGGCAGCTCGCGGCCCCGACCCCGCGGGCGCCGCGCCTCCCCGGCTGAAGCGGAGCGGGCGGACGGGCGGGAGGGCGAGCGGCCCGTCCGGCAGGGTCCGCAGCGCTCCCGGCATCCCATGGATATAGCAACAGGTCCCGAGTCGCTGGAGAGGTGCTTCCCTCGCGGGCAGACGGACTGCGCCAAGATGTTGGACGGCATCAAGATGGAGGAGCACGCCCTGCGCCCCGGACCGGCCACCCTGGGGGTGCTGCTGGGTGAGTGCTGGGTCACAACGCCTGAATAGTTCTGATCAGGGGTAGGACCATCGTGCCGCTGTGGACACTGGCACGAGAGTCAAAGGATAAAGAAAATGGGCTTGAAGGACGTGGGGAGGGGGTCCGGATCCCTGGAAAGACCACTGAAGGGGCAACAAGCACACGTAGACAGTCTCCCCGAAGGGACAACGTTCAGGGACATCACCCAGACAGAGAACCGAACAGCCTCAGCTGTCACTCACACCATCCTCTACGGGGCTGGGTTCTAGAACTGCTGCTACGGACTACGGACGGGGCTGGGGTGGAAAGCGGGTATTAGGGATGGTGGAGAACCAAGTTGTCACCTTAGAGTCCGGGAGAGGTGCCAGGTCAGTTAGGGAAGGAGAACTTCTAGAAGGAAAAAAAAAAAAAACCCTATCCCCGGGTCCATCCAAACCACGGGTCTTGGGGCAGAAGGCACAATCAGCATCGTGGGCGCGTGTCAGCCAGCGAGTAACCCGGCCTGACCTCGCTGGTTGGGTCCCAGCCGGCCACCCCGAGCGGAGCTCCTTCTCGTTGGATCTCCGCAGTTGGGGAGAGTGCAGTGCCCAGCCAAGGTTGCAGGCCCTCAGCCTCTCCGTGCCCCAGCTTACAGACAGGGACGTGCTGTCTGTGGCTGCCGGGTCTCTGGCGAGGCGGCTGGGGTTCCTCTGGCGAAGGGTGGCGCTCCTGGACTGGGCCAGACGGCGCTGACGGCCCGGCTCTCGTCCTGTGCGCTGCAGGCTCCGACTGCCCGCATCCCGCTGTCTGCGAGGGCTGCCAGCGGCCCATCTCCGACCGCTTCCTGATGCGAGTCAACGAGTCGTCCTGGCACGAGGAGTGTTTGCAGTGCGCGGCATGTCAGCAAGCCCTCACCACCAGCTGCTACTTCCGGGATCGGAAACTGTACTGCAAACAAGACTACCAACAGTAAGCGCCTCTTGCCCTCCTCTCTTTCCCCGCCACGGACCAGTACTCCAGCCCGCCGGTCCCTGCCGGGAAGTGTCCGCGCCGCCCTACGGCCAGCTCCGCGCTCCACTGGGCTTGGTAGCTCGGAGGGCGCAAAGGGCTGCGTGTCTCCGGGCTGGGGCCAACTATCGCATCCCAGCCAACACTGGTGGGGTGGCCCTTAGGTGCCATCTGTTGTCCCGGAAACCTGCGCTGAGTGACTGAATTGGGGTACAAGACAAAGCCCTGGGCAGACTGGTGGATATGATGCTTGTGCTGGGGAAGGGCTTGGCCCCACTAAGGCCTGAAGTGGGAACCAACAATTTATTATCCAAGAAAGGCATTGCTTTAGAGAGCCAAGCCTTACTGTGTGCTTCCCCAATCCAAGAGCATCTGGGATTCTTGAAGCCAGGGAGGCGGGTGCTGAACCCCGGCTGGGCTGCCGTTCAGGCAGGGAGGTCTGCACCCTGCATGGTTCCTTGTAGCACTTTTCTCTGGTAAAGAGAAGTGGGTGTCCATCTTCCTAAACCGTTTCATACTGGGAATTTTGCCCTTATAATTTTTCTTAGCTGGAGCTAGGAAGCCACCACCTCGGGATCCTAGTTGGAGTGGCTGACTGAAGGAGTCAGGCCTCCCAGACGGCCTCCTTTCTTACAGTGTACTGGGAAAGAGTGGTTGACACAAGACAAGTGTGTTGAGCCCTACCTATAGTTTCCAGGCTAAACTGGTGCTGGGGATTTGTATGGCTGGAGGCTGGGGACAGAGCACAGCAGCTTTTTCTTATGACCTGCCTGGGGTCATATGCCTGGAAATGCAATTGGAGGGGGTGGGGGGTGACGACAATGAGGAGCCTCAGTGGAGAGAAAGATGTGGGGGTCCTGGGAGTGGGGTTGCAGGGATAAGCGTGTGTGCGCCTATGAGAACTTCTAAGCGGTGCTCAGAAAGGTGTCTTGGATGGGACTGCAGGTCCAGGTCGGATGGCTGCTCAGGTGCTTTGGGCTCGCGGTTCTTAGTACCTAACTAAGCCTTTGGAGAAAAAGGAGGCAGGGCTATGTGTGCCATTCAGTGAGTGCAGACAAAGTATTTGTCACCAAATCCAAGGTCTAGTGTGAAGAGGGGCAGCTAGACTCTTTGACTGGGGCCTGAAAATACCAAACTTGAGGCCGGAGTCCAGCATAGGGCTTTGGTGGCAGGTCCAGGTCGGGAGTGTTCCCAATGACTGGGGAAACCACAGAAACTGCTTTCTGCACCTTGCTCTTTTTGGTGGCTGGAGTAGGGTGGTGTTTCTATGGGCAAGAATTGGGCTGGGTTTCAAAGATCTGTCCTTTTGTTGGTCTTATAACGTGGTGTAGGACTGGCCTTCTGTATGGCGTTCCCTGGGTGGAGGCACCTTGTTGAGGTCCTTGCCGCGTCTGTGCCTGACGTTCACCCACAGCCGTGCATGCAGCCGCACAAATAAAATGGGGTAGCAATGACTAGGGACTGGAGATGACTCAGGCAGCCCCTCTCTGGGATGTGCGCCTGGCTGAACTCTGGGAGAAACCTCATACATCCCACTTAGCCTCCCACCTAAGCAGCCCCACACGTGGGTTTTCTAAGAGGCCTGGGAAAGTAGATAGAAAATGGGCCTCTGAAACTTTGGGGGTGGTTTTTAATTTTTTAATTTTAACACTGGAAAGACTTTGCAACCTTTTGCACATAGTTGCCCCTAGGGTCGTTCTGGAGCTTCTTCTGAGAGAAAGAGAGCAAAGACACCTCCCAGGTCCTTCTGGCTCAGTCACGAAATAGCAACAGGAGCTGGATTTTGCCTTAGAGAGAAGAGTGACCAACCTCCCCACTTTACAAAACAATTAAACATTTGCAACTTCTTTGTCCCACTGATATTTGTTTTTGAAAGAAAAGAAAAACACTTCACCAAAGAACCCGTTTCTACCCAGTTGCCAACCCTGGTGCTGGGGAGGAATTTGTTCCCCAGGACTCTGGTCCCTGAGTTTGAAGTGTGCATCCTCAGAAGCCTGGGGAAAGGGGAGTCTGTCTTACCCTCTCCTCTCATCCTTCCCTCCTCCACCATTCCTTCTTCCTAATGACAATGACGATTAAGTACCTGCTACAGGCGGGCCTCCTGGTGTGCTTGGGCGGGGTAGTCGTTATCAACACAATCTTGGGGAACAAATCCCCAGGGTCTCCTGGCAGCATTTTGCAGGGAGCAGATCGGGCAGGCTCCCTGAGAACTCACACGGAAACAATGTTCTTTGTATACAATAAAAAATATTTTTATTCATGATTTTTTCTTTGAGAATCCCACATACATATTTATTTCATGTGTGCCCAAATGCTTTTCAGACGAGAATTAAGGCAAATGGGTGCGGAGACGTGCTTTCTTGATTTTGAGTGTGTGCCTCCTCGGCACTGGGAATTTACAGCAACACACACACACACACACACACACACACGTTTTATAAAAGGCACCCCTTACCCGGCTGAGCGGAACGGCAGGCTTGGTCCTTGTAAAGAGGTTGCTGGTCTTTTTGATGTGTGTCTTCCTTTCGGTTTGTTCTCAACGATCTCTCACGCACCCAGAAGCGCGAAGTTGTTTTCCGCACCACAGGGCGATTGATTAGCTATTGGGAACATTTAGGACAATTGATAAAATCAACTCGCAGGCCTGGCAGAGCAAGGAAAAAATGTGGGCCGCGGAACTGGGACTTTTTTTGTTTGTAACCTGAAAACTCTCCTTTTTGCCTGTCCTTATGTGCGTTTTTGGGACTCCTTCAAAGAGACCTCGGTCCTCTTCCGAATAGAAAACCGGGTTAGAAACCGGGAAAACACACGGCCTCCGCAAAATCGCTAACACCGCTCTGTGTCTTCCACTGGAGAAACTATGAGAAAAAAAAATTGACAACCTCCCTCCCCAATATATGTTGTTTTTCTTGGCAGTTTGGTGAAATCGAATTATGTAACTCCCTTCTCTTGCCGGCTGTCGCTCACTAGCTCCGAACGCTTCTTGTCTGGAAAAGGTTTCTGTCCTAAGGAGGTGGTGGATTCCTGGAGGAGGCTCCGGAAGGGGGGGAAGGGTCGGTGGGAGAGTCCAAAAATCTGTCACACAATGGAGTCTGAGGGCTTGTGGAGCGGCTCCGGGGCCTGGAGGATATTAGGTGTGCGCGCGGGAGCCTTTTGTGCTGGGGGGGGGGGGGTGGATGCGGAGCTCCTTTCGGGAACTCTTCCACTCGCTTGTAAGGGGCCTGCCGGGGCGCCCAAGCCTCGGGTGCTGCGACCTCCCGGGTCTGCTGAAAATGCTGGCAAAATCCTTGGGTTAGTTCGCCCAGGTAGGGTACCCCTCCGCGGCAGAAGTGGGCATCCAGAGTCCTGGTCTGGTTTTTAAAACGTTTCTCCCGGCTAGCTGCGGCCGCAAGTGGCTCAACCCGGCTCTTCCCATCACCTTCTTTTCCTCGGAAGTGTTTACCCAGGCTAAAGCTTTCCTGGATCGAAAGACTCACCGCGGCCTTGCGAACAGGGACAGCTAGTGTCAGTGTGGCATCTGTGGGGCAAACCCCAGGCTCCTGGCCCTTTCTCGCTCCTGGGTTTCGTTTCCCAGCTTGGAAGGAAGGCCTCTTCCTTAGATGTACTGGGGTTACCACTCGCCACCGGCACCCGCTTAACGGTGGGATCCCCAGCCTGAATTATCTCCCCACTGTATCAAACGAATTCAGAGTTACAAACACTCCAGCCCACTGCCGGGGGTACCGGCTCTCTCAAGAAACCTGATTAGAAAAAGGAGCCAGTACGTGGCCTTACAAAAGTAGGGTATTCTTTCTGGAGCCCCAAAGACTGAAGGGCTCCCGCTGCCAGCGCCAGTCCGGGGATCCCTTGGTCCCTTAGAGGGAGCCTGTATGTTTAACCCCAGCACCTCCTCTGTGGGCTGGAGGTGAGGGGAAGACTTCCTGCCGTGCAGGCATCTGGGGCTGAAGGAAAGCATTATTCACAGCCTGGCTCACCCTCTATTCCCAAGGCTCTGGGCTGCTGTGGCCTTATTTGTTTGCAGTGTTTTTCTCAAGTGGAGGGAAGCGGCTGTGAGAATCTATTCTATGGTATGTGATTGGAAGGTCCGGGTTTCTTCCTGCCTTCATGCCAAACTTAGAAACACAAAGCCACGAGGCACCTATCTGACCCTCTGCGGTATAACCAAGACCTGCCTACCTAGGAAAGTATTCTTATAGACTCTCTAGATTGGGTGCCCAAAGGAACTGGTGTCTTTGCCTGATATGTTGTTACCCTTTGGAAATTATTGCTGTCCTCGGGGTTGCATTGGCAGGGAATGTCTTGTTTCCAAAAATCCTCTCCAGACTTCGGACAGGTTTCTAAGTAGATCAACGTCGTCCCCCAGGGAAACCATTCTCCTTTGCCTGAGAGGACACTGCCTCCCTCTGCTACAAAAGAGCTTTAGATACTGAGTCACAGCCAGGTTCACCCCCAGCCCTAGCACTCAGCTAAATGGCAGCCCACCCTCAGCCCTTGTCTCTACCTAGCTGATGACATCACCTTGCTCGGTGACTGCGGGACACCTGGTGGAGCTTCAGTCAATGTTTTCATCTGAAGGCATCCTTTATCCTCTGCTTCAGTGTTGGAGAAACTTCTGCTTGTGAGGATGGGTGCAGACACCAATAGTGTGTTAGCATCTTGGGCTAGCATGTGACTCTGTTCCTCCAGGGGTCGTGTATTGGTCCAGAGAAGCAATATTTCCACCGGGCAAGCAATGGCATCTCCATGGCCTGCATATTACTTGGGAAAGCATAGTCAATAATATGATTTCTCAGCCTGTAATTGTTCTGACTCAAGTGCCAGACAAGAAAGCTCAGCCTACATCTCCGGGGAGGGGGGAAGATGTGGGGAAGAGACCCCAAGAACCCCAAGTTCAGAAGGAAGACAGACATAATGGCGGCAGAGCACTCCAGAAGGTTGGAAGATAGCCTGTGTCCATGCTCACTG